TGATGATGATGATGTATGTTTGGGGCTGCATTGCAATATTGATTGTTCGGATCATTGGTATCTAAGTCTTCCGCTGTGCTATCTTATACTTTGTATTGAAAGGTCGGTTCTTGTTCTGGTCTGCACCTATACGGTATGCAACACCTAGTGTGAGTATGCTCTCTGACTCCTCTGTTTGATTGGTCTGGATGCTAGTGTTTTTTAGAGCAGAATTTAACTAACGCAACACTTTCAACTTCAATTTAAGCTTTAATCAATGATCATCACGTTAATCATTTTAATTGAATGACAGCCCTTTTCACAAAACATGTATCCCATAGCATTCCCATTGAAAAAGATGATTAAAAAAAGAAAAGAAAAACGAATTTATGTCCTCGATATCTATTGGAAAAGAAAGAAAAGTCTTTGACGGTGTCCACGATTCTTTGTGCATCCTCTTTCCTTTGGTTTGCTCTATTCTATATTCTATACTCTATACTATTCTATTCTATTCTATTCTATTCTATTCTATTCTATTATGTGGATGCTATACAGCGAATGGGACTCTCTCCAAGCTGCTGTCGAGATTAGCCGAAGTTGCACGGTGAGTGCTTGCTTGCTTATCTCCTGTGGCAGTTCCCGACTCTCTCTCAAAGCGTGTGAGCGAGTCGCAGTGAGTGTTTGTTGAGTATAATTTTCTAATTCCTCTCCTCAGAAATCTTTGACAAAAGGTGGATTGCACAAAGCCGCCTCCGCAGGTTGTGGAGAAAAAGGCTCACTAATCGCCCCTCAGACCACGATGATGGCGATTACAGTTGCTCACTGCTCCATTGTCTACTTACTTTCACAAGCTCTCTCTGGCGAGTGGCCTCTACCATCATGTATGTTACTAGAACTAACGGTTCCACCGTTATGAGCCAGATTTTCGAACAACTTGAAAATCATAGCTTCGTCCTCAATTTGATATGAAGTACAAAAAAAATTAAAGGTAATGTAAAGTAGGCAATGTGGTAAAAGAGAAGAAAGTACCGTTGTTTTTCGAGAGTCTCTATGGGAGCTCCGAAATCAATCCCGAAGCGAGAGTAAAGTGACATGACGTGCTCGTTGAACGTGTAATCCCCATCCACTCAAGGGGCCAGTTGTAGAATGAGGACAAAATACATAGATGGATGGAGGGCAACCAAGACTGAGAGATGAGTAACAGTAAAATGCAAGGAGATGTTCCTGTGTTTGTTGCATGAATAGAGTATGGAAACTCCCTCTTTCTGCAGGGGAGGGGGGGGGCGGGGAGGGGGGGGGGGGGGGGGG